GATCATCATCACTGGTGGTTATCGACGAACAACACGAGTTCAAAGGCTCGGACGACCCGGCTTTACGAACATGGATCAGAGACTTCGCCAACAAGTGTACGAAGAGCGGGATACACATCGCTGCACCACCGGCCGTGCAGCTTCCGCTAACGCCGAGCAATCCGGGCCGACTTCGAACGACTGATGAACCAACTCAGAACTTTCGGCAAGATCGATATCGCGCTCGTTTCACTTCAACGCCGGGACGACCACATATACCCAGTCGTCAAACGTACCTGCGCTTCCACACTTGACCTGCACAGCCAATGCATCTCGACGGGGAAGACGTTGAGGAGAAGGTCCAGGACCGTTACTTCTCGATCGTCGCGCTGAGGGTCAATACGAAGTTGGACGGGGAGCACCATAGGCTGGACGCGAACGCTATGGGGTGATTCCAGCAGACGGAGGTGATGACGGTTGGGACCGATGTTACGCGCTGCGGTCCGGGGAGTGCCTGGGTACCTCTATCGCGGGCATTATCGCGAGCAACGATCAGTACTTTGCGCAGTTCCCGGCCAGCTTGAGGTTGCAGAAGTCCAAGCAGTAGGCGAGCCTTTTCTACCAGTGAGTGTTGTGTAGCTCTGCTGATCATCCCGCGTCCCCCCATGGAATCCCAAATTTAGCGTAAAATGATGATCAAGCGTTCGCAGGCCTTCCGCGCGCGAAGCAAGGCTCTCCCTGGCTCTCCCTAACCGGTCTTCATCTTCCGTGATGGTGTCTCTAAGGTACGTTATTCTAACCCTTGCTCGCACATATATTACTAAGAACATGATTCTGGGCCAATACGATACGGTATTCAAGGAAGGGCTGCTGCAGGTCATCGAAGCATTCAAGCACATTGACGCCAAGAACCCGCGCTACCGTCCTAAGCTCAGCATCGTTGTCACGTCCGTACTTGACTAGGACTTTTCCAGGCGCATATGGGTCTACGGGGCACAGTCCGCCCGACGTACGAATAGCCTGGATCCGAACACGATTCAACAGGGCGTGCATGTGTTCAGCTATATGTATGCGCGCACAAGTAAGGCCGCCAGGCGACGTACCAAGCAGAAGTGGTGTGCGAACAGGCGAGGTACCGGATTCATGGGTTCCTCTATCAGGCGCATGAGGGGTCGTCGGCGGGTGATACGGCTTCCGTCGAGGGTGGTATGCAGTCAGATCGGATGGATCGTAAGCGGGAGGATGCGGGGAGGAATTTGTATGATGCGGCGGTGATGATGTGGAGGAATGAACTCCATCAGAGACTCGAGAGCAGTATGTTCTGCCTGTGAGAATGGGAAGTACATGTACCTGTATGCGGCACTGTGGTTTGTACAATAGTGCATTGGACACGGATGAGGAGTTGTTTTGAGCGTTTCTACTCGGATAGCTCGGTAGTTAGCCGTGAAACCAGGCAGCTACCGCATGAGAGGCAGGGAGAACTATCGCAGGGCATTCCTCCCACCAAACCCATGCGCGAGCGAGGTACTAGTCTCCGGAGCAGACCTTAGTAAGCGAGCGAGCTGCCACTCGGCAGTGCAGTTACCGTCGCGTGACGCCATGCGTTCACTCTGATTGGCGAAGGTGCATCCCAACTGCCCGCCTTTTGGCTCTCGCCTCCACCATCGCGACCATCCCGTGTCAGAATCCATACGTTTCTGAAGCTATATTGAATCATCACAAGATATATCTCGAACTCCAAGAGGGGTGCTCAGACCTCGGGAGTCGCCATCAGCCAGATTCGAAGCAGGTCGGAGACCAAAGTCTCGCTCGCAGATCGTCACCGCAGCCCGAGCGCTTCCGCGCTCTGATGGTGCCGATATCAGGTCAAATAGTATGCTAACGGGTGCTATGCATACTCTCCACAAAACATCCGGTCTTCGCGGATCCTTAGACCGGACAGTCGTGTGCCGGGAGTCGAGCTTCCCGCACGGTAGGCGTCATCTGGTCTATGATTGGACACCCATGGACTCACGGTGCTATTCTTTCTGTAGTCTGCCTGACTTGTCATTCAATGCCCTTGCTTTATCACTTTGTATCACATTCCTGTCGGCCGTTCTTCACCGGCGGTGTGTTCCGCACTTCTACCTACCTATCATTGTAGGGGTTGACTATGATACTCACGCTCCCCAGTGAAGATTACTGAAGAAGTATGACGCTCATGGACGTTGGCACGGCGGTACGCCATCTGGTGATACGGCAAGCTTGGACAAGCCCTAGCACTGGTAAGTGTCCGCCGCCGAAGCAAGTCTTTCCCCCGGTACTGATCTCCGCTCTTTAGATCTGCATCTGGTCCGTCCGGCGGCAGTCGATGTAATGGCTCACACGATGACCATTGATAGCAACGATCTTGCTATGCTATGCCTCTCGTCCCCTAGAATGGAGCACTGCAAAACATACGGTCACACGGCACAACTGTTAGTCTGCGCATACTTCTGCGACCGTTGTCCCACTTTGACTCCTCGTGCCATGGATCACCTTGCCAAGTCAACTCAGTACATCACAGTGCCACATGACGTGGGCGTCGAAGTCTGAAAGCCGGGTAGCTACTCTGGCTGATCTGTGCTGGTCTTCGGCTGTGAGCTCCATTCATCTCCGTCTGCTGAGGCTGAGGCTCATTACATGGCAGACAGGATCTCATCACGTATCTATGCTTTGATCAAGGACTCTTGAACCGCCGAACGAAGGGCCCATGTCTACCTAAGGCGCGTGTTGTTTTGTAGGTTTGTACGCACCCTCATGTGCTGTTGTTCATATGCTTACACCATGGAAGGCTTACCTCGGGTACCGGGTTCTCTGTCTTATTCGTTGCGTCTGCGTGTCCGTCATCCCCTTCCCTAGAGTAACGGATTGCCATGTACGACTGAATCAAGCTTGTCCCGATTCTCTACCTCAAAGGACGATTTCCATTCCAGGTGTCGATCGCGATGCTCACGGTGAGACGACGCCAAGGTGTTTGTAGCATGAGGTGCTGACGATGTTAGGCGTCAAATTTCTTCGCTATTATCTATCACGGCTGACAGCTTATCTACTTAGTGGTCGCCGGGCTGTCCGGGATACCGTTTGTGATACGACTAGGCCCAACTCCGGGCGGAAACGTCTGCACTACGTGCTGACGACGCTTTGCCGGCTTTACCACCGTCAAATATCAATCGCAGGTCAAGCCCCTCATTGATACTCTGTCATCCTGCTCACTGCTCACAACCTCTGCTGGACGTGGCACGGCGTCTTCATCGTCCATAGTCACCAGAGCCAAGCGATCAACTGTCTCGATCAGCTCTATATACTTGCTGTACCAGAAGGTTCGTAGCACTGTTACCTTTTTACTGGAGCTACACTCACCTACCGCCTCCTTCGCAGTTGTGATCCTGTGAGTCCGAAGTCGGCCCAGTTCGCTCTTAGGCGCTGATGACATCCCATAGAGCGACATGTGCAACGCGCGTATTCCGTTCACTGGACTCGGGAGTGGGAGGGTAGAGAGAGAAAGAGTACGCCGGCTCCCGAGATTGTTTCCCGCTTCACTTGGGTTCTCATCCTTTTTCAGAATTTTCACCAACGGAATATCACATGGCAAGGTACACGCTTTATAGCTCAACGAAGTTCAACTTTACCCCGTTCGAGACTGGCGTGGTGAACGTTAACTCGAACTCGAACTCGAACATGGGGTATCCGGCCATCTCGATCCAGGATCGTGCCAAGAAGTGAGCGAAACACACCCCTTTCATCGAGAGACCATGCTTACCGATAGGCGGCCAGGTTGACTCGCCGCACACTCATGTATATCATACTGTCATTATACAACCTAAATCATGAAGAGTGTCCTGCCTATGCGGTGCGGACGTTCAGTCCATCAATACGGGGCGGCGCGGGGGTCGGATCAATGCGGTGCACCAAGATCTCCCCGCACTCCCGCTTCCTGTTGGCGACAACCTCCTGGCCGAAGACCACCATGCTGGGCCGGTGATTAACGTCCTGCTGTGCTGTGGGATATGCGGCTGTTCGGTCCCTCCCAGCACTCAAGCGATCTCTTCAAACTCTGATAAGATAATATGAGCGTGTGGCTTATGACGACGTAGTCACCATGGTGCGTTACTCAGTCAAGCTCGCCTGCGGTCTCCACAAACCATATTGATTGTGTAATTTCCTGCAGGTTCCTGTGTATTCTTACCTACTGCCCCAGCCTCGCCCGCGATCTAGTGTCACTGTACCTAGACCTTGACGAGGAAAGAGACACCATGTCTTGGGTGCGCGAACTCGAGCCTGCATCTGGCGAAGGCGGTGAGCACGGCGGTGCCGCGATTCACCTGCGGCCCATCCGCGACTTGAGGCTGCGTTTGGCGTGCATGGGTGGCGAGCATGGCGCCGTTTATCATGTGTGGCCCATCTTTCAACGCGGGCGCGCTCCAAGCGACGGTGACGGGCATGGCGCCATGATCACCCATCTGCTACATACCCATCTACCGCCTGTGTTTGGCAAAGGTGGCGAAGGTGGCGCCTCAGTGACCCCGCTATATATGACCCACATCGACGCGCGCTTGGCGAAGTGGCGAGCGTGGCGCCATCACCCATCCATTATATAAGAGAGACCGTGCGCAAATCGCGCGAGGATAAACTGAGGCATTGTTGACTTGTTCATGACCTCCATCGTGTCCCCGGCTGCTCAAAGTCACTGCGCTGCGCTGTGGAGAAGACGGCCCGCAACTTTGCCCCGTCCGCGACCAAGCCACCGTGCGGACCAAGTCTCGTACTGGTCCTCTCAGTTTCAACTCACGTTACAACAATGAGATCCGCAGCCCTAGTACACTACCGACTGTCCCTCGTCTCCTCATCTTTTCTTGTTCTTGTTCTGGTATCGGTTTCCTCTAGTTCTCTATCGAACAACACCTCTTCTTCCACTTACGATGTCTGATATGTCCATATTCTCACGTGTTTTTCCATCTTTGAACCAGACTGAAACCCCTCAACTCCGTCTCTCTGCACCGATGCACACACTGTCCCACCATGCTGCCTCGCGCACCCGGGTTCACCGCCACCAGCCATACTCCCGCCCACCAATCGTACCTCGAATCATTTGCACAACATCCCACGGCGCCTCGCTGTGCACCCAGGCCTCCATCGCCACCCTTGCCATCACCCCTGAACAAGCGCGAGCCGCGCGCAACCAACTTACCTTTGGCCTTGTCGGTAAGCGTTGAAGATGGTGTATCTACAATTTCGTGCTAATATCTGGCGAGGTCAGACGTTGCAGTATATATGCTCGGCAACATATGGCTAACCCACACCATACCAGCCGTCTTCGCAACGCATGTATCAAAACACGTCCGTAGCGCCCATGTTTCCGGCCCGTTCGTCTCACCTGTCTATCCCCACCCACCGCCGTCATCCACGCGTCTTCCCTCACCCCCGGCTACCCCCGACGACGACGGCACTGCTGGGGACGCCTTCGATGAGCACGATGAAGCAACAAACACAGCCAATCTTCGTGGCTTTGTCATCGAGGTCCTCAAACGCTCGAGGACAACTACCTGGGCGTTACAGTCAGCTCTTTGCTACATCACAGCAGTCCGGGCCAAGGTCGCGGAGCTTACCGCCGCGGAAGCCGCTGGTTGCGGATACTGTGAAGCCGATCAGTCCGACCGCATCGTGCTCGCCGCTGATATCGGCTTTGTCGAAGAGTACGCCGAAGACGTGGGCGTGTCGCCTCTGCCTACCCGCGAGACACGCGCGACTCCTGTCGAGCTCTGGCAGCCTGGTCAGCCCGGCGATAAGCTGCGTACCGAAACATTAACGCTGCCGCCGGTACCGAATCTCCCATCTCCCTTACTTGACCCACGCCGCACCTTCATCGCAGCCTTGATTCTCGCGAGCAAGTTCTCACAAGACAAATGCTACTCGAACCGTGCGTGGGCCAAGCTAGCAGGACTTCCGCCGCGCGAAATCGGCCGTTGCGAGCGTGCGCTCGGCGACGCTCTGGGTTGGCGCTTATGGGTCGGCAAGGCTTCGACGTAGATTCAGCAGCAACGCCCGCTCAGCCGCGTCACAACCGAACCGGACGGCGGGAGTGTTTGTAGGGGCAGCACGCTCCCGACGGTCATGCCACAGGCATCAGCTCGGATGCCGATGATGTTGGCGCCGATGGCGAAGCTAATCAAGCATCCAGCATCGGTACGCTCGCTGGCGCCCAGTCTCCCATCAATGTCGATGATGAGCCAGACGAGTATGGCTTCCTCGCTGGTAGATGAGCGTCAGTCCGAACGCGAGCAAGTCTAGCGCGGGCTGCGACGGCACACCGTGTTCGACGCCGAGTCTTGCGCCCCTCCATACGGTTACATTGTCTTCGGAGAAGATAACTCGATGCGCGATTGGTCCTCCAAGGAATATACCGTCCTGACTCACTGGAGATGGAATATTGGCTCTTGACATTGATTACTGGCTTGTTGAGTCTGTGTGTTTGCATCCGTACACCTCGTCTACGTTTCTTGTTGCAAGATCATTCCTCACATTATCTCTTGTTTATCCCAGTGGCGCTGTGTATTTCACAACCATTCATCTCAACTGAGTGCTATGCGGACTTACCATAGCAATTCACACTCTTGAACAGGACGATACCGCTCGAATCTGGCACGTACTATACACAATTGGTTCGATAGCGAATCTACACATTCGCTATTGGACCACCTGCCGTCTCGACCAGTGACTTTGATAATTCATCGTATGCTATCGTGACAGTGTCCTAGTATCCTCCGTCGAGTGCGAAAGTGGTCATGAACTATGGCACTCCGAAGGCGTTGGGAAATCGACCTGATGTCTTAATTCTCACTCAGTTTTTGACGTGTCTGGACCGCCATAATGAACGAGCACTCACAGTAACAGTAGAAACCCCTCAGTTACGTTTATCGGCGCGATGAATGTGAACCTAGACTTATCCGCAGTCGAGTGACTAGGGCATTCATGACCTTTCGGCGGCTCTGGGGGGAAGTTCGCCCAATTGCCCAATCGCCACTACAAGTGAATCTTCTAGAACTTGCGCAAAAAATCCCTATCTGAAACATATGGGAACATGGGGAATCGAACCCCTCTACTCCTCTTGAAAGCAGGAATGTTGATGACCATTACACCAGTTGCCCATAGAAGGTCAATGCCATACCACTGTCACAATCGGTCATCGCCCCCAAGGCAAATATGTGGTCACGGTCAGCGCGTCGGATAAACATTCGGCTAGATCTTGCACCTAGCTGTTCAGACTTGGTTCAGACCAACACCCACTCCGAATTTCGACCACCAGTGTTTCTCGCCATCAATATTGGAATTATAGACAATCTGAACGTAGACGGAGATCTCGCCATGCAAGTCATGCTCAGGGATGTCATTAGCCTCAAGACCAAGCAGTTATAGTTACTGTATGGCATGCAGTCTATCGTGGGTAAGGCTGAATGTAGCCGCGCCCCTTGTGGGCCGTGTTCACGGCGGAGTAATCGTCCCTTCTCTCCTCGTGGCCCACAAAGAGCGCAAGCACATCAGCGCCCATTGCAAGCTCAAGCCTCGAGTACTCAAGTCCACACATCCGCCTGATCTGACGGCTGGGGGAGAACGCGCCGCTCCGGAGTCCGCGTTGATGCGCCTCCGGAGTTTCCACTAGTTTCCGTTGGTCGTGTCGGTTTTTGGCTCTTTCAGTATTCGAAATCTCTCGAAATCCCGCGTCCCTCGGGACCAACCTGCTCGGGAGCTCTTGCTCTATACTGGTCGCACTTTAAAGACTTGATACGAGCTACGAAATGTGCGCGCGGAAGGCCCGTATGCGATGGTGAGTCCGTCTATCCAGCGCAGGCGCGTGGTCCGGCCGGACAATACTTACATATCTCGTTGCACTCGACCGAGCCAACAACGCAAACAAGTGAGCGGGGCATACATTGGTTGCTTCCGTGTTTCTCCCACGATGGCGAACCGTGCCTGATGCCATTCCAGGGGGTGTGGCAGGTCGGACCCTAGAAAAGAATAGTCGTCCCTCGCAAGGTAACCGTGGGAGTGTCTACGTTCCAAGGGCGTCGCCTCAAGAACCCTTTTTAAACTCGTGCATACTTGTTACCACAAGAGACTACTAGACCCCGTCTTCCACGTGCACGCTCGATTGTACTGTAGCCTTGAGCTTGCGACCGGACGGTATGTTCATCACAGTTCATCACGCGTTCCCCGACACCACCGCCGAAAAGAGTTCGGCGCAATTTGTTGTACGTCACCGTTGGTCGCCGAACAGGAAGATTGACGCGTGACGGCCCTTCGTAGAGGCGCCCGCCCAAAGCGGGTAGGGGCTCGCAGAACGCGGCCATTGTATTCGTTGGCACGCCGTTTAAGCCCTTGGCGAACGCTGATGGCGCGGGCACGCTTGGCGTGCCCCCTGTCATGCTCGAGACCGACGAACACTGAGTCGTGAATCTACGGGACGTGTTCCTCTTTCCCTCATCTCAGCACATCCCTCTCCAGCGCCAGACGTATATTCTGATTTGCACATAGCACTCCCCCGAACACGTCGAGCGGCACGTGCTCTCGTATCAGGCCCCAGCCAGTAGTCTCCTCGTTTGCTCGTCTTGGCTTCAACTATCGCAAATCTCTGGCCTTCAAATCCTCACGCTCTTGGCCATGTTCGATCCATCTGGCTGGCCTCACTCGCCCGCGGCTCATGCTCGAGAGGTGTGCGCATGGGGAACCCACGAGCCTCTGCTTTGGTCTTGGGGCCCACTCGGATACACGGCCTATCACTCTGAACGATCTCCTGTTCCCGTATGTTCAGACTTTTCTTAACATGAGTATCCCCTTACACTTGAAACTTTTGTTGGCAAGGTGGACGCTTATCGCTGGCCCCAAGAAGAATACCTGCAAAGCTACCACGGTCTAGCCCCTGTGCATCCTCACAACCCGCCTTGTAACACCGCGCAAGGTAGCGCAGAATACCCCCACTCGCTCCACTCCGCATCTGCACCAATTGCGTTTCCCACTGGCTTTGCCCTTCTCTGGCCGCGTTACACAGGAACTAGGGAGAGTGGGTGTTGTTCGGCCGCAACAAGTGATGCGCCCCTCACGGTGAGCTAACCGGATTAAGCTCGTCCCTGTGCATGCAGCTGATAGAGTGTAAGGTCAATGTCCACGCGCAGGACCGTCGCGCGCAGGATCGTTACGCGCAGAAACGTCACTACACCTGTCACGGACATCAGCGTGAGGTGCACGCACACCATGCACCGCTGCAAGAGCCAAACACGGAGGTCATCGGGCAAGATCGGAAGCACTCGCTTCCAGAGCACGATATGGGCGATCCACTCAGTACGCCCTTTAAGGTCGAGCTTGACACGCAAGACACGGTGGATGGCATTTCCTGCATCCAGGAGACTGGACTGTTCAACTCGAAGTCACCGAATACGCCGCGGCGCATGGGAGCTTGTGACTCACCGGCAGAGATCGAACCGCAACCGCCTCGCAAACAAACGGGTGGCGCGAAGAAGGGCCCAAGGAAGGGGCCGAACTTCCTCGCTTGCTACTTTTGCCGAGGGCGTAAGATATTGTGTAATCCATTAGAAGGAAGGTTAAGATGCGAGTAAGTACCAGTCACTTCGCAGATTGGATGGCACTCGGTAGTGGTGGTGTGTGAGCGTTCGCTCCGTGGGATCAATTCTACAGCCTCATATGAACCTTTGTGGGTGCCCACTATAGCCCTTTTGGCACACACATGGTCATGGCCTGCGCGTTCAGTGGGGATATCTTGTTATTGCGATACTCCTTTACAAACCGTCTGTTTTTCTGAGAATTCGCGGACCCCGAGTACGACGAGCTAACCCACTGGATTGCAGGCAGTGCGTCGCGCGCGGTCGCGAATGCATCTTCCCGGAGGTTTCGAGGCGTGGCCAGCACGGACACAAGCGTCGAGCCTACCCGTGTGTACATCCCAAGTGAGGGCGAGCTCGGCTAACGCCGAGGGCCCCTATCGCGTGCCGCCGTATCATCAAGACCGTGCGCCGACGACTCTTCCTGTCTTCAACCGCCACCTCCTTTGCTACGGACATGGTCATCTTCAGATCTTTCACTTCTGCAGTTACCGCACCTGTCCATACAATCTCCCCGTCAGGCCCACGCATCCGCATCTTTCACGGCACTTCGGTACCGAGTGCCTCGCGACGCATTTTCACGACTGGCCGCTCGCGTGTTGCGTGCTCTACTACCGCCCAAGGCAATGCGAAGGATATTGGATCAAGGTGACGGCCATCACGCGGTACTCCGCTCGTACTCTTACGATACATTCTTGGTTTACATTACTGGTTTCGGCCCTTCCTTCCATCTCGATCTCACTTTCCGACGATCGCGCGGCGCTCAAACACACACACTCTCGCTGTCCTCCATTTTGCTCCCCCTCTTTGTGCAGACCTAAGCACGAGGAACAAGTTGAGCTGATGGAAAGAGATAGTCTCTGTTGGGAGGAGGTCTTTGGCGTCGCTAGGCCCCTGGTTCCCCAACGGTCTCTTTCTCGGAATTATTGTATAGCTTCTGTGCGCCTCTCGGACGGTACCGCTTGGTGCTGTTAGGAGGGCAGGCGAACCTTCTCGGGCTCTTGAATGTCGTTCCCTCAAAGATGAGAACTTGCTAGGGGGATCAGAAATTATGGTGGTCGAAATGGTGCAAAAATAAATGCCCAGAGAGACGAGCTCGCGAGGGTTCAGAGAGAGGATGA